AGGTATGACATGAAACAGTTCTCTAGATGTGCTGCAAAAACAAAAGGCACATGTAAACAACTGAAGCGGGGGCAGTGGGGTCTCTTCCAGCTCTTCCTTCTAGAAGGATAGGGGACTGCTGGAGAGGGTCCAGCAAAGAGCTACTAAGATGATTAGGGCATTGGAGCATCTTTCTTATGAGGCAAGGCTGAGGGACTTGGGTCTTTTCAGTCTAGAGAAAAGAAGACTGAGGGGGGGATCTTATCAATACTTACAAATACTTAAAGGGAGGGTGCCAGGGGGATGAGAACAGTCTTTTTTCAGTGGTGCCCAGTGATAGGACAAGAGTTAACAGACACAAGTTTGAACATCGGAAGTTCCATCTTAACATGAGGAGGGACTTCTTTGCTTTGAGGGTGGCAGAGCACTGGAACAGGCTGCCCAGAGAGGCTGTGGAGGCTTCCACTCTGGAGACATTCAAAACCCGCCTGGACACCATCCTGTGCAACCTGCTGTAGGTGACCCTGCTCTGGCAGGGGGGGTGGACTAGATGATCTCCAGAGGGGCCTTCCAATCCTGACCATTCTGTGATTCTGTGATCTCTTTGCAAAGAGAGAATCCACAAGGCAGTGTGCTCACGTGAATGCTCCCATTGCTGGGAAAGATTCATTTGGACACTGGGGTCGAGCAACAGCAAGACCCCAAGTCCTAGGAAGGCAGACCTCGTTAGTTCTGGTGCTTGTGGGATTTGTTTTGACATGTAAGTATGTAGAGCTGCTATTAAATGATGTGTTTCCCAGGCATGTTTTAATTAGGCAAAGATTTGAATGTATACTTGAGTTTATATCAATGGCCCTAATTAGTAAAGGCGGTTTTGCATCCTGTTCCTTTTCTGTTCTTGGCAGTAGACCTCTTCAGTATGGCAATGCAAACTTACAATTCTTTAAAATTTATGCGTGTAAACTTTCATTGCATTCATGCAAATTATTTAAGGAGTACAGGTTCAATAGGAGACAGGGAGGAATGACTCTCACAGGAGCCTTTGCCTTTCACAAGGTTCTCAGATACATCTTATGGATCTTCCCTTTCCATAGCTGTGAAGAACAGATCACAAGGTTGGTCTGCTGTTAGAACTTCTGCTTAATTGCTCCATGAGAATACGCTGCATATCTAATCTAGAATATAAACTTTTATAAATAAAAGTGGACTGAAATATTGAGTATTTTTAGCTTATATTTTTGCTAGACCCTTTTTTTTGTTTTTTTATCTTCACCATACAAACCTAAAGGAATGGTGAAAATGGGTATAATGGGCCTTAAGGCCCAAATGAATTTTTCAGACTGTGAAGATACTTCCCCAGAGTGTGTAATTTCGCCACCAAACTCCTAATCTTATCGGCAAAATCGAATACATCACTACCTTTTCCTTTAGCACATGGCCCTGTCTAGGCCTGCTATAAAACCACCCTTTTGAATATTGATTCCCATTTCAGTGCTTGAGCTGAGACAGAAGAATGTAGATGCAAGTGGAAAGCAAACGTAGATTTCCAAAACCAAAATGAGTGAAAGCTTGATAAGCTCCTGACAAGTGCTTTTTCTCTCTCAGGAAATGTCCTTTCCTAAAATAACGAAGCAGTTGTCCCTCTTGAAACAACAACCAGACCCAGTCAACTCTCTGCAGACGTGCTCTTCAAAAATATTTAAAAACCCAATTTCCCTGATGTTTCAGGGAATTTCCTCATGCAATCTGATGCATGCAAGATACAAATGTCATACCGTGTATCTAC